CAATGTAGCTCAATCAAGTGATCATCAATGGATAAGAAACTTAGTGGACGTCCACTTAAGTTGACAGAAGTTTTGCTCTATATATATATATATGACTATATATATATATACGAAGAAACCAATAAATGTGTGTGTGTATAGATAATTGAGCTTAGAGTATATAACACACATAATATAAATCCTAAACTAAATTACCCAAGCTAGATCTTGATCTTCAATAAGCTCTTCTAGGTAATCTCGCGGATGAAGCTTTAACTTGGATCTTGAACTTTGAATAGCAAGGCTTCACCGACATTCCGCCAACCTCCTTTGGATATGATCGTTGAAGCTCTATTCCATCCATCCTCCAACAACGTTGTTTGTCTATAAAACATAGGAATGCACAAACACTAGACAAACAACATTACTAATAAATTGTTTGTTAAACATCATCAAAACAAGAAGGCCAACAATTTGGATCCTCTCATTCTCATGATTTTTTTACCGAGAACAGGGGGAGGAGCAAATATCGATAGCCTCAGAATCGAGACAAGTCAAGAGGAAAATGAAAGGCTAGAAAGGACATTAGTTTCTATCACTGCGGGAAGAATGGACACATAAAACGGGAATGTCGTAAGCTCAAGCGAGAACAAAAGCAAGGAAAGACCAATAAAAAATAAGAAATGAATGAAAGTGTAGCTGTTGTCAGTGACAATGAAATTATGCTTTTCTCAGCATGTGAAGAAGATTGTGCAAATCTCACTTGCCAAGACTCGGAATGGGTGATTGATTCTGGTGCCTCCTACCATGCTACTCCCCGAAGGACTATTTTACTTCACTTCGTTAAGGCAATATCTGGAATGGTAAAAATGGGTAATAAAAACTCTTCTCAAATTCTTGGCATTGGAAATATTTGTATTACTACTAACCTTGGAACAAAGATAGTTCTAAAAGATGTTAGATTTGTGCCCGATCTTCGTCTCAATCTTCTCTCTACCGACCAGCTTGATGAAGAAGGATGCACAAGCAACTTTGGTAAAGGATGTTGGAAGCTTACCAAAGGATCACTTGTACTAGCGAGAGGAAAGAAGTGTTGGTTGGAAGCTTACCAAAGGATCACTTGTACTAGCGAGAGGAAAGAAGTGTTGCACTCTCTATAAGACTCAGTTTCACTTAGAGAATGATATCACTTGTACTAGCGAGAGGAAAGAAGTGTTGCACTCTCTATAAGACTCAGTTTCACTTAGAGAATGATAAACTTGGAATAGTGAAAGGTACCTCTATGGATTTGTGGCACAAGCGACTTGGCCACATGAGCAAGACGACAACTACTTCTATTCATGCAAGGTACAACACTATCCCACTGTGATAACTGCTTGATTGGGAAATAACACCGGGTAGCTTTTGTTAAAAAATATAACAAAAAAGAAACTGGCATATTGGACTTAGTCTATTTGGATGTATGCAGACCAATAAATAAATAAAAAATTAGTGGTGCCTCATACTTTATGACCTTCATAGATGATGCATCTAGAAAGGGGTGTGTGTGTGTATGTCATAAAAACCAAAGATCAAGTCTTTGAAGTTTTCAAAGACTTTCATACCAAAGTTGAAAGAGAAACCGGAAAGCTCTTGAAGTGTATTCACACTGATAATGGTGGTGAGTATACTTCAATGATGTTTGAAGACTATTGTTCTTTTTATGGCATTAGACACCAAAAGACTGTTCCACACACACCACAACACAATGGGATTGCAGAAAGGATGAACCACACAACTATGGAAAGGATAAGGAGTATGCTATCCTTAGCTAAATTACCAAAAATATTTTGGGGAGAAGAAGTGCGAACAGCTTGCTCCTTGATAAACTTGTCCCCCTCAGTTCCCTTGGATGGAAATATTCCTAAAAGAGTTTAGAGTTGAAAGGATATTTCCTATTCTCACTTGCTGGTGTTTGGGTGCAAGGCATTTGTACATGTACATGGAAATGATGAATTTGGGTATAGGTTGTGAGATCCTAAAAATAAGAAAATTGTGAGGAGCAAGGATATTGTTTTTGTGAAGATAAAACACTTGCTGATTTTAAAAAAGAAGAGGAGCCACAAAACACTCATATCATTTCAGATCCAATCTCTACACTAGTTGTTTTTCTTCTCCTATGCTAGAAATTAATGATTGTCAAGATGTGCAGGAAGAAGAAGAAATTGTAGGTTCCCCATGTTTTGATCAGGGTGAGCAAGAACATGCAGAGCCACCATATATGGATCACCCACAAGTACCCTAGGTGAGACGGTCAGAGAGAGAACGATAACCCTCAACTAGATACCCTGCTTCAGAGTATACTATGGTAGCAGATACAAGTAAACCGGAAAGTTTCCATGAAGCACAAGTTCATGATGATCGTACAAAGTGGAAGAAAACTATGCAAGAGGAGATGGATTCTTTGCATAAGAACCACACTTATGACTTGGTGGAGCTACCTAAGAACAGAAAAGCCTTGAAGAACAACTGGATGTTCAAAATTAAGAATGAAGGAAATGATCAAGTCAAGTACAAAGCTCGCCTCGTGGTGAAAGGTTTCAGTCAGATTCAAGGTGTTGACTATGAAAAAAAATTTCTCCTGTTGTAAAGATGTCTTATATTCGGGTTATTCTTGGTCTTGTTTCATCTCAAGATCTTGAAGTTGAGCAGTTAGATGTGAAGACAATATTTATCCATGGTGATTTGGCAGAAGAAATCTATGTGGAGCAGCCAGAGGGCTTTAAGGTAAAGGGCAAAGAACACTTGGTTTGTAAATTAAAGAAGAGCTTGTACGGACTTAAGCAAGCACCGCGACAATGGTATAAAATGTTTGATTCTTTTATGCTTGACCATGAGTACAAAAGAACATCTGCAGATCATTGTGTTTATGTCCAAAAGTTCTATTCTTTTATGCTTGACCATGAGTACAAAAGAACATCTGCAGATCATTGTGTTTATGTCCAAAAGTTCTCGGATGATGATTTCATTATTCTCCAAAAGAACATCTGCAGATCATTGTGTTTATGTCCAAAAGTTCTCGGATGATGATTTCATTATTCTCTCTTTATATGTTGAAGATATGCTTGTTGTTGGAAAATATAGGTCTAAAATTGACAGGTTGAAGAAAGAGTTGAGTAAGTCCTTTGACATGAA